GAAATCAACTTCACTACCCCCAGGCCAGTCTTTGTACCAACAACCATGAGTTACATAATACACTTTTCGTTTTTCTGGTACACTAAATTGTTGAGCTGTTTCCGGCCTTTTGTGTGGAAAATTTGTCGTGTTCTTTCGCATTCCTGCACAGAAAACAATCCCTCGTTAAGTATGACAACAAATCCGAACCTTTTTCCTCCAAGATGACCCTCGTATGGCGTTCTACAATTTATCGCCTTGCTCACCTTGTGACTTAGATTTAATCGATGATCTTTGTATTTTTTCAGTTTGTTTAAGTTGTTTTTGGTGGATGAGTGTATCTATGTAACCCTTGGACATCCCCAAGGACAATCCCATTTGTCGTTGACTTGGTGGGGTTTCCATCTTGGTCGTGGGGTCCAATTTGTTCAAGGATGACGGATTTGAGTTTTTTGATGGGTACGCTTTTCGTGACTGGGGTCGGTCCAATGATGTTTTTTGTCGCCGTTTTCCAACATCTTTAACAATATTACGTACGAATGTCACACTAACCTTACTTCCCCCCCCCCTCAACAAGTCCCCTTTATTTTTAAATATCCAAATCCATTTTCGGAAAACGCCTTGAAGGTCTTCTCCCGGAACTAGTCAATTTTCGGCCACAGTTTTGATTTCGAAAATTTTTGAGTCTGGTAGGTGTGTTGCAATTGAGTGGAGGAACACAATTCCGGCCGAAAAAATCAAAATCCCGCCAGTGGGTGTGGAAATATGAGACTTTTTACAAGGATGTCCATAATCTCTAATCACTCTGTATGTGCTTAAATTGGTGATCAACTAACTAACCAACTAAATAAATAATAATGTATAAAATCATCCGGCGTTCTTCAGCATTCTGGCAATCTGTACACATCCAGCCAACACAATTTCAATGCAACTTTCCAAACTATGTAATTTTGTTATTAAATAAGTTAATGAATAAATTTGTGAGATTTATTAGTTTATTGCACTCTGTCCAGATAAATTTCTAAAGTAGGTCAACTTGACTCTCGAAATATTATGTCTATAAAATGTTGTTATTAATGTACCTGGACTCACTCCAGTATGAATGAACTTTATTACCTTGCTAAGAATTGCTTAGACTAAAATCTTCATGTCGTAAAAGTACCTGGACATTTTGTACCAGCTCTCTATGTAATTGTAATACCATTCTCGACATAACAAAATTCTGTAGAACCTCATTAAATAGCCTGTCTCAACCTGAATAAACTAGCTAGCATTCTACACCTTGACCGATCCACATCTTATTTTATGCTGTGCGGACATAATGCTCTCAAAATTGCATCTTAAATTATTCTTTTGCCCACCGTCCTGTTATTGAGACTATTTGTCAGAGGTCAACGCCGCCGATTGTACGCAGCCGCTCCGCCAAACGCCGGCATAATTTTTGGCGCCGTCGCAGCCGATAAGTCCAATTCTTTCAACATTGGGACTCCGCGCCGCCGTCCCGAAAAGTCACGAAAATTTGCGCCGCCACAGCCGCAAAATTGGTCAGCGTTGCCCTCTGCTATGTATTAGCATCGAACAACTTCACTTGCTCAGCTTAGTTTTAGGTTTTGATAGTTTGACATATTTAGTTTCACGATCTAAGTAAAATTTTATCAATTTAACACCAACGGTGCATATACATACATATGTATGTAACTACACCATGACGGTGTTAATTTTGTTACCAGGCAGGCGGTGACGAAATTGTAAAAATTTGGTTGAAAATCTGCACCTTTAGTGTGGAAATTTTTTACCACCTGGTAACAAAATTAGCACCATCATGGTGTAGTCACATATTGACACAGTCTATGACAATTTTTTTAGAGGGCGACGCAATTTCCAAACTAATAAATATATGTATGTACCCATGGTTACATATGTACACTCTAAATAAAGTGGTAATGGATGGAGTCATATATAGTTAAAAACTGGTAACAGACCAAATTATTACCGCGTGGTGGTAAATGTTTACAGTTTGGTAGCAATTGACTACCACTAGATTGCAATTTATTACGACCCAGTAAAATCCTGGCTACCATGCGGTAACAATCTTGTCTGTTACCAGTTGTACTCTATATATGACTTCATCTATTACCAGTTTTTTTAGTTTCCCATGGCACCCAACTGTACACCTGAAACCAAAATCATTAGCATTTAGACAGAGATGGGAATGGGTCCCAACTAAGTCGGGTTACCCGATACCCGCCCGTACCCAATTGGGTATTAGTCGGGCGGGTATGAAAACGAGTCGGGCTTGGGCGGGCGGGTATTCAAAAATGTTAGCTGTGTCGGGTCGGGTATGGGCGGGTATTTATATTGTCGGGTATGGGTACCCGACAACTCGATAAAATACCCGATTCGCATCTAATTAATGTTTATTCACGAGCTACTGACTAAAATTATAAGGAACTAGAGATGCTAAATGGAAGACTTTAACCAAACTGCTAGTACTTTAACTATTTGAACTGATTGATCTCAATTTAGAAAAATTTTACTAAGAATAATTAAGAAGGAAAGTTACTAAGATTTATTCGAGTCCTCTAACTGTTGTTATTTGTAATTGTCAGATCGGATTGAATTTCATGCTAACCTAAACCATCAATTACAAATTACAAAATGCATAAAATTACAACTACATGCAATTATATTTGCTAAACAAGTAATTAAAATTGCAAATTACCCATTTTTAATTGTCAATTTATTAAAGTAAGTGATCTAATTAACTACTTATAGATTGCAACTAGACATTTATAAAAGTTGTCCTATTTTTTGGTGACATAAGTTATGCAGATAAGTAGTCTCACTATACGGTCGGGTAAATTCGGGTAAATGCGGGTACCCGGTTGGGCGGGCGGGTATTTCTACAAGTATATCAAGTTGGGCTTGGGCGGGCGGGTATTTTTATGTAAATAAGTTGGGCGGGCGGGTATGAAAAACTAGGCCCGACTAACGACTTGGACCGGGCGGGTATTGAAAATGTATACCCATTCCCATCTCTGATTTTAGAGGATCAAAAAAGTGGACTCTTAGAAACTGGGTATTGACCGGTATTAATATATGACTCTACCGCTCTGGTATAAATTTAGTAGCAAAGTGCAATACCTTGTAGTAATAAATGCAATACCGCACAGTTAAGATATGTTACCTCTTGGTATAAAAATACCAGCTGTTCGTCATTCATCAGTACCGAACAGTAAAGAAATTATTACTATAAAGGTAAACTCACATATAAATACCGGATTTTTCCGATATTTTTAACAGTTTGAGAAAACTGGAAAATTAATTTTTCTTTTATTTCTACAAATACCTGATGTTACCCAGATTTAATTTCCATTATGCACCACAAAATAATAGACGGTTGGATGTTCGATATTTTGTCCAATTTTGAGGCTTATTATTTTTCCCCGGTAGGAACGGAGGAAAACGGAGGAAATTTCCTTCGTACTCGACAAAGTCAATGGGTCACACATTCACAGATTCGTGACAAATTGGAAATTTCCTGAAATAGATGAGGTAATTCACACAGTGTAGTATCGTTTTTTAGTGGTTTAGGAATATTGGGTGAAAGGCAAAGGTTGGAGCTTTTATTACGGCTTTGATTAAATCGGTGACAGAGGCCGGGAAAAAATCTTTGGCGGGTGATTTACCAAGGCTCAATTATCTGTATGATCGGGTCTTTGATAATGATGGATGAAAGAATAAGAGGGTGAACCTTTCATCCGATCACAAAGGAGGACAAGGTAAGAATTGGTGTTGTGGTTAATCATCCGTCAAAACAATTTATTGACCCTGCCTTCTATGTTGATTTTACGGTATGATATTTTAAAATTTTTCTTAATTTGTTAGGCCCATGATTTTCAATGTAAATTTTACAAATTTGCCAAATTTGTTACAACAAAGTTCAAGTGCGTACATACGAGGGTGATTCGGAAAACACTTAGAAAAGATATGCTAGAGAAAGTTGCGGGCCAATTCCTTTTCATTTTCATAAAGTCTGAACATGTTCAGGAAATTGTGCTTTTTTTCAGGACCATAAGTCAAAAAATGACTTCGTAGGAAATTCGCCAAAAATTGCCCGGAAGAACTAAAAAAATCCGATTTTATTTTGGGACTTCCAAGATATCTTTTGGCCTTGATTTTTGTATTCAAATACATGGGCAAATAATAATCGCATACGGTTGGGACTGAACATTTTACAAGTTGCTTCGCCCCTTGTAGCCTATTTCTGCTTAAACAGTCCTTGGAACAAAGGATATTTTCGTTTTTTAAAAACTGACCAACCCCATATGTTTGACTCCGTATTCCTTTACACTGGAATAACACAAGTACTCCAAATTGGTTGGATAAGCTATATAATTGGTAGTTATTATATGCCTGATGGTTGTGCTGGGTTAGCAAAATATTAAGAAGTTTATATATTCTCCCGTAACATTTTAAATTGAACTTGAATTTTGGTAATTTTTTTTTTCTAAGTTTCTTTAAAGACGCAACCGGCGAATACTGCTCACATCGGGAGGTTATAATCAGCCAACAGCACATTGATATTTTTTAAATGTGCATATCCTCAGTTAATTAGAAAAATATTAATCCAAAACAGTGCTCAGGAACCAGAGATTTTACATTAAGGCGAGCTCTGACGTCGAGTTCTTTTTGGTTATCTTCTGAAATGATTTTCCCAAATTTGCACAGTGTAATTTAAAGAAGGCCATTTCCCCATAAATTGTAAGCTTACCACCATCAATTTTCTCCACGGATTGACCTCACAGATTTAAAATTCTTAACAAGCATAAATTTCTTATTTGAAAATCTGACTTTTTTTGAGTCCAGCTTAAGTTTGAGGAATTACTACGAAGTCAGTTTGTGACCGATTGACCTGCAATAATCACAATATCCTAAATATGTATGTTCAGACTTTGTGAAAGTGCAAAAAAATTGTTCCGCAACTTTCTCTAACATATCTTTTCTAAGTGTTTTCCGAACCACCCTCGTATACATATGTACATATGCTCGAACAGAAAAAAAGTAAATAAAACTCAATAACTTATGTTACACAAAATCACCTCCAACTTATTGCAATCAAATCGCTTGCTCTGCTCAGGCTCGACTAATTTAGCAATAACTTTCTGCCAAGGTGCAAATTTATCCTGCACAGCTTCCCTAAGATACACGGATCGTTCCACACTTCTAAGAACATTTAATTTTTCAGCAAGTTTAAACATTTCAAATTCATCCCTTCCATGTTTAACTATTTCCAAAAACGTTAATCCCAAGCTGTACATGTCAGTTTTTGTAGTGTACGAGTAATTCCGGCTCATTTCAGGACTCCAATACCATTTGGTTCCCAATTGGCCATAATTTTTATCCGGGTGTTCAGCAAGTCTAGTTGCTAAACCAAAATCGCCAATTTTCCAAATATAACCTTCACCTTGTTCCTGTTTGCAAAATAAGTTTCCGGGTTTTATATCGCGATGGATAAAGCCTTTCTGGTGGATGTATTTTAAACCGGTTGCGACATCGTTAAAAATCGTGGCGACATGTCGAATTCCCAAATTTTGAGGGTCTATCTTTACCAAGAAGTACTTTAAAGTAAATTGACAAAGTTCCATTCTGATGAAAATGTTGTTGTATGGTGATAATATACAACACGGGAGGCTAAGACTGCTAGTCAGTAAGGATTTGACATATTCCTGAAGTTTAAAACGGTCCAATTTGTGACAACTGAAATCTTCAGCTTCTGCCCAAGAGTCAATATACCGTACGACGTGATCATTGCTGAGCTGGCTTAAAACATCGATTTCATTCAAAAGAGTAGTTAGAATATTTGTATCCACGTTTTTTGAAGTATGATTGGATTCGGTGGTGGTGGAAGTTGTACATCCCGGGGTACAGCTGAGTTTTAGCATTTTTCTAATGTCGACACATTTAATGGCGACGAATGGGTTGTCCAAGTTTTGAGGATTCACGGCTTTGAATACTTTTCCAAAAGTCCCTTCTCCTAAGATGGAGATGCATTTTAGAGAATTGTCAGTTTTCCAGGGTGTTGGTAATATTTCGGTATTTTGGGCGGTATCAGTGTTGCCAGTGTGAAAAGATTTCCTGATTTCAGTAGATGTTTCTGTAAGATAAATAAGTCGTAATATGGCGGAGTTGAATGGGGAAATAAAGGGAAAAGCAAAAAATAATCAATTCCAACGAAAACCTGTACAACGTAGTAAAGTTTTTATACATTTCTATTACTGCCAGGGTCCGCAATCCGCCGCCGGATAGCTCTTTTTTGTATGCCAGATTGCCAGATTGCCGGAATGCCGCTTTGTATACCTTAACTATTAATATCCGGCAAAATGTCCAACACGGCAACAAAATTATATGCCAAATGGCATGCCGGATTGCCTGATTGCTGGAATGCCGGATTGCCGCGGAGTACCCTGGCTACTGATAAATTTACTTGCTCATTTATAATACGAGGGTGATTCGCCGGCATTTTAGACTAACCATGAAGGGAATATTGCGGGGCAAAAATTTTTGCATTTTGATACACTTTGGAACCATTTAGGAAGGTATGATTTTTTTTAACTCCCTAGGTGAAACAGTAAATTAACCAAAAATCCACGAACTTGAGCTCGACAGAAAAAATGCCAGATTTGCAAATCCAATATCGCGCAGTCATTTAATTTCTACTGTTGGAAGGGCAATCCGGGGCGCAGACACATGATCTTATGCTTCAAGTGTACAACGAAGCCTGGCCTTTGCGACCCACAATTTATAATTTGGTAAATAAATTTAGAAGGGGGCAAAAATCCGTGGCCTGCGTCAAGTATCCATAACCAGCGAAAACAGTGAGTACTCCCGGAAACCTTATGAAATTAAAAAAACTGTTGATGTCAGACCAAAGAATGAAACTGTCTCAAATGGCCGAAGAATTGGGCATCTCAAAAACACAGGTACACCCGCCTCGCAAAAGTATCCGGCGGTCTGCTCCTGCATGAGTCACGTCTCTATTGCTACTCTGCATGCCGATCAATTTCTAATATTTTTTCCGATATAATGAACAATTTAATGCGTATCAATATTTGACACAGTATTTTACAATATTATGTGAATTGTATCCGATAGTGCATAAACAAGGTACAAAATCTGAAATTGATGTTGGATAAAGCCGGGAGAAGTTCTGAAATCCGATTATCTTCAACCCACCGTTAAATACGGAGACGGTGAAATATGCACCTTTATTAAATATCTCCCACATTATTTTCACCCATGCGCAACTTTTCAGGATCCGTCCTGGTATGGGGTATTATGGCTGCAACTGGGGTTGGATGTCTTACGCCAGTCACCAAAATCATGAAAAAGGAAGGTCACATCGAAATTGTCGAGAAAAATCTGAAAGCGTCAGCAGAGATGATGGGGTCCAAGAAGCGTTTCCAGTTTCAGGAGGGTAAAGATCCGCAACACACCGCTATACCACTCAAAAAATGATTACAAAAGAAAAATATTGATGTTATGGATTGGCCGGCTCCGTCTCATGACCTCAATCCAATTGAAAATTTATGGAGTCATTTGGACATGAGGATTGGACAACGTGCGAATCGGCCAACAAATTCAGCCAATTTGGTGTCTTTTATGAAGGAAGAATGAATGTGACTATATCAATAAACTTGTAAAATCGATGCCACGATGGGTGGCTGAAGTAATTCGAGTGAAAAGATGTCGCTCCCCATCTAATTTTGAAATTTAAATGTTGTTATTAGAACGGCCGGATACTTTTGCTAACATCAATTTCAAATTTTTGTACCTTGTTTATGTACTACTGAATTCAAGTTATAAAATATTGTAAAACACTATGTTAGACATTGATAAGCATTAAATTCTGCATTATTTGGGAAAAAATATTAGAAATTGGTCGGCATGCAGGGGAGCTGTAAAGACTGGACTCCGGCATGTTCAGACCGCCGGATACTTTTGCGAGGCGGGTGTACATCACATGCTAACAGATGATTTCGGTTTCAAAAAATATCCGCTCCTGGGGTACCGAAATTGCTTTCACCATTGCAAAAACAAAACAGGGTCGATATTTGCCATGAGAATTTTGACCTTTTCGAAAAAGACTGGAATCTTCTTTATATTTTGATAACTGGGGATGGGACCTGAGTTTATTATTATGACACTGGGACCAAACACAAATCAATAAAATGGATTCACAGAGGGTCGCCGCCCCCAGAGAAGCAAAAGTATAGAAACCCGGCAAAAAGTTGATGGTGACCGTTTTCCAGGATTCCAAAGGACCGCTGCTTATAAAATTTATGGATCGCAACACTACGATAATTGTCCTAGCCTATGCAGAAAAATTGATGGAATTGCGAGCAGCCGTTCAAGAGAAACACAGTGTCAAAGAAAGTATTTGGTGGATTTTTTGAACGACAACGCGACGCCTCACACAGCTCTTTTTGCGAGGGCAGCTGCGGATGAAGACCGGCCCCGAGTCTAGAACCACCCACCGTGTAGTCCAGACCTGATCCGTGGCGACTATTATTTGTTTGGAAATTTCAAAACTACCATTAAGGGCAAGAAATTTTCCAGCGACAATGAAATTAAATCACGTTTTTTCGCTTTTTTTCGAGGTTTTGGCGATTCTTTTTTTCTGAGGGTATGTTGTGTCGAAATTCAAAATGGGAGGCATTTGTTTTGCAGGATCGAAACTACATTGAAAAATAAATTTTAAAATTTTGTGAAAAATTGGTCCTTCATGGTGCGTTTAAATTACCAGCGAATCACCCTCGTATAAGTATTTTCGTCAGATGAATTCCCTTCGCCTGCAGGGAATTAAGAATGTTGCAGGCAGGGTTGCAAATGGTATAAACCATTTTCCCCAGGACAGTTGGAAAAAATGGGAAAATGTAATTTTTCCCACCCACCAAAATAAGTGGGAAATGGGAAAAATTGGGAAATTTGTTAGTTCTTATGTGAATAATGCTAGGTTGCGCTAATTTTTCCCAATTTTTCCCATTTTTCCAATTTCCCAGTGGGAAAAAATATTTCGGACCGGAAATATGCAACACTGGGTGTAGGGAGGCAAATATGTATACGTATGTACATAGACCAGGCTGTTTGTATGTAGGTAGCTTCTTAACCTCACGCCAATAAAATTTATAGGGTATGATTGCCTGAAGACACAAAAAATAATTGTAGGCCGGCTAATGTATGCGTGTATTTACTACAAGCAGAATAATTGTAATACCATGACGTTTCAAGGCGGGTTTTTCTGATCTTCTTCGACACAAGAAACACCCGGCTGCAACTACCATGAAAACTACGGCGCTGGTGGTTGCGATGATAACCGAAATTATGTTGTCTTTATCAGCGGGCGTATTTTGATTTCTTTCATCTTCGCCGCCTGCACAATCCACGATCCCATCATCCACATTTTCCAGTGGTATGCATTTGGACTCCAGTTCGCAGAAATATTCATCTTCCTTACATTGGGATAAGTGAGAACAAACAATCTCGTTTTCGTCGCTGGCATCTGTGCAGTCATTGGCCTGGTTGCAAAGGCTGCTTAATTTTATACATTCACCATTTTCACAAGTGAAGTGGGTTGAGTTACATCTGCAAACGGTTTGGAAAATTAAAATCGTTACCCAGGAATTAAATACTTCACTGAAAAATATATTTCCTGAGAAACATTTACATACATATGTAGTCTTACGAACTTAAAATTGTTTTGGGGTCGAATGACCTTATCTTATTGTAAACAGGATGTTTGCTCACATATGTAAATAATACTGGTCAATTTGCTCCCGAATGAATGAAAGTACACTGTTAAAAATATCGAAAATGCGGTATTAGTATGTGACTTTAACATCGTAGTAATAATTTCTTTACTGTTCGGTATTGATGAATGAGGAACAGCTGGTATTTTATACCAAGAGGTAAAATATCTTAACTGTGCGGTATTGCATTTATTACTACGCGGTATTGAACTTTGCTACCACATTAATACCAGAGCGGTAGAGTCATATATTAATACCGGTCAATACCCAGTTTCTAAGAGTGTAGCAAACAGCAATTATTTCAATGATACCTGAATATGCGCCTACAGGTCTGAGGGAGCACATCGAACTAGCAAATGAACTCAACATTTTGAAAGGTAACGTAAAATTTTAAATTTTACTACTTTGGTTGATTTGTAGCATCACAGGGGTAAAAAGTGTTATGAACTGTTATAAAGTGGTAGAAACCTATGATTGGTAGATTTTCTTTCTGGAAAGTCAAACTAAATATATTTTTTGTCATTTCCATCAATATTTCTCTCAAACTGTACTTTCAAATCATAATAAAAATTGCATGAGAAGATTTAAATATTTATGCATTTTCTAAAGAATCACATATGTTTTTGCACCTTTCTTATAAACTATGGACAAGCCAGTTTGACTTAAATTTAATTAAATAGTTACTATTTGTGAAGTGTTACGTCATAAATTTATAAATCCTGGTAAAACGGAGTCTGTGACATTGTCTCGAAAAGTGCGAAAATTTCTCATACTTGAACTTGGTACATTAATTTATTTTATGTTTTCATCTGAAGGTTTTTCCATAATTACATTCTAAATCATTTTGTTGGTTTGATTATATTAGAAAATCTGTTTCACAATTCTCCCAAACAGTTTTTACCACTCTATACCACTTTATACCATTTTATCACTTTGAGGCTTGGTGGTAAATACCGGTATTTACCACTGGTAGATGCCACTTGATCAATACCGCTTTACGTGTCCCTCCGTAACAGTGACAATTTTTTGGCTAGGGAAAAGTTTTAACTTTGATTACCTTTAGCCCAGCCAGTTTTAACATATTTAAATACTAAATTCAGACATTTTAATAATTAAATTACCCATGCGTGAAGCATTCTACGGGTATGCACGATACGAAATAATTGCAACTTTGTACTCAATTAGCAAAATGATATAAACTTGAATGGACTTACTTGGACTCGCAGAGCGGGCGCCACTCCACGGAACACAACTTGGACTCCCATATCCCATTGTCGGGATGGTTCTCGGGCCATGTGGCCCATGTCAAACATGAGTATGGAATTGAGAAGCGCCATTTTTGGTGTAAGTCTGGAAGTTGTTCTTTTGTCCTTTCCCACACCATTTGTGTGCTCTGTTGTGAATCTATTCCGGCCATCCAGTATGGTTGAGCTGAACGGAATCAACGAGTCAAGCTTAATTAATCAATTTTACTACAAGAGGGTGGCGGGAACATGAAAATTATTCTTGTAAGCTGTCACAATTGAATAAATTGATTATTTAAAGCGTTAATTATTGCATATCTTTGTGGAATTAGCGTACCAATAATGTGGGTTGCATTAGGCATTGCTTACACACAGTAAGGATATACAATGCATAACTGACCTCACATTATTATAGGTAGATTTGAACTTTCGGTTAATGTCATGTACATACATTCGTATAATAAACGACCTGCATTATAATTGCATACGTATTCTATGAAATACAGAATAATTTTGGTTACAAGACAACACACCATGGCCGAATTAGGAATACAAATGTACGTGTATACTTACGCGGTTGCAACATTGAATGTTTCGTTTTTAGAAATTCTTGCTGAGCAGGCGAATTTACTTCGGCAAGTCGGAGCCCAGAGGAATTGCAGTACGTTTTAGCATCCGTCCAGTTCTGTTAGTCGTGGGGGTTAATACATAAAATACCGGTCAATTTTATTTGTGTGAGTAGACTCCTCAGTAGGCCATACCATGAAAGTTTCTTGGAAATAGAACCTTTTCCCGTCCACGATGCCTAAATTGATTAGCCCGGGCAAGGCCTCGTTCTGAATATGATGTAAATATTGAAAATGATTTAAATACTGTGTAGTGAAATAAGGGGACCAAAATAAAAATACAAAATAACCTTCCAAAATTGTGTAAATTGTACCCTATATACATACTTGTGGGGAAAACCAATTCATTGTATGTCACATATGTACATACACTAAGCAAAACGGGTGAAGGCACCTTCGGCAATGACGACACTTACCCTTGTTTTTGAATTTTCTGAGAAGGTGTTTTAACTATAAGTTGTATCAATTATACAGAAAATTTAATGGAGATTTGAAAAATCACAACAGTTACTTGCTAAAGTTATCGGTTGTATGTAAATATTGGTAGAGAGAAACAATATTCTAAAAACCACGCAAAATAATTGAAGGCACCCTTTTAATTTTTCATCATCAAAAATTTGTACCGGTTTATCAATACCTCGTCGACAGCCCTTTTGCTTCAATTATTATCTGGAGGTGACGTGGCATAGATTCCACCAATTTCTTTTTCACTCCCGGTCATGTATTCTCCTATTATTTGGCGATGATCACCTTCAAATCATCCGTGGATGATACATGGCGGTGACAAAACCTACGCTCCAATTCAGCCCATAAATGTTCGATGGGGTATAGCTCCGGAGATTGGGGAACCCCAAGAAGAACGGTCACCACGTTTTCTTCGAGGAACAGCTTGAAGATCTTCGCTGCATACTTGGGGCCCCCGCCATCCTGGAAGGCAAAGTTATCTCCAAAGTGCAACCTACTCGAGGACTCACCAAATTGACGTCTAAAATGGTCTTGTAGACCTCCTTGGTCATGCTTGTGCAAAAAAAATGTAATATGCCAACTCCAATCCATGACTTTGAGTCCCAAATCATGACATTGCTGCCCCCATGCTTCACGGTCCTCCTCATGCACTGGGGTTTCAGGACTTCTCTAGGTTTTCTCCAAACTTTAATAGTCCTGTCGGACCCAAACAGATTAAACTTGGTCCCATAACTCCAAATCGCTCATTTCCAGTGCTTAGCAGTCCAAACGCTATGTTTCGTGGCCCATTCAGTGCACGCCTTTATATTCTTAATTGAGATTAACAGTTCCTTGCGTGTAATGGGGCCCTTAATCCCAATTTCCCGAATTTTATTTCTGATTGTTTGAGGTGTACCCGACACTATATATTGTTCTTGTACCTCTGAAGCAATTTTAGGGGTGGAACGTCCCGGTTGGCCAAAACTGTGCGCAGTATTATGCGACCAATCCGAGCGTTTGTCGCTATTTTAGGTCCCCGGCCTAGTAAATTCGCGAACTGGATCTTCATTTAATGCACAGACGATAATACATTTGAAGAAACGTTGCAAAATTGTGAATTTGGTATGAATTTGCAATGATTGACCGATA